AACTTGTTATTATGGAATATATCTTGTTTTGAATGGCCACTTCGAGTAAAAAGCATTCCCTTGTAAGCTATGCTGGGTAATTATGGACCAATATGTTTTAATTTTAACTTTCGTGAATCTGGAGTCTTTTTGTGGTAACATTCACCTTATAATATGACCAATTGAAATCTTTGCGTTGTGATCCTTAGCTATTCTTACTATTTTATACCTTAAGGAAGGTCATAACTGTGGAATTTATTTTATTCTTTTACTACTTTTGCTAAGAGTTCAAATCCTTCATCCAAGTGTCCGTGAAGAAAATGTATATATCATCCCATCTATTTGAATTTGCATTCAATAGACCATGCAAAATGTGTTGAAAGCTTGCCACTTCCGGTCTAATTCTGAAATCGTGTTTTTGTTATAGATCGACTACAACCACTATAGACTCCTGGGGATCGTTAGGATCGGGAGAATTAACGTACGACTTTCGAAGATGTCACTACCTCGTTGGCCTAGCTTTAGCCGATCTTGCCTCTGTTCTTGATTCGTCGAACAGTCATGTACTACATGCTAGGTATGAGTTTTTTTTTTTTTGGAATCCAGTAGTTGGTTTCTAGGAAAATAGTTCTAAAGTTTTTCAGAGCCATTAGCGTCATTCACAATCTTTTATCTGCTCATGAAGCTGACAGCCGTCTAACAGATTCGGGTATCAGATCTCGCGTTGCATCGCTCTACTTGCCACTAGTCACTATAGTTTTGGATGTCGCAGAGCAGATTCATGACCCTTTTGTAAATACAACTACTGTTGCAAAGTAAGAAGGTCAAATTTGCTGTATTTTCTCATCTTGTGCATGCTTCTTTTTTAGCAGTTTCCCCTCAGATGATCCTCTTAGCTCTTCCGCGTCACCGGGTGTAAATCCAAAGGTTGCACTAGCAATCGCGGGTATTGGTTCTGCGATATCACCTCCTCGTACGCCTACAGGGGTACGGAAAAACAAAACATCCGATCCGTCAAAGGTTACACTGAATCTGGAGCTGTCTCGGCAGGTCAGTGTTGCTAATTTACAATTCCCAGAGTACGAAACCATAATTCATTTCTGAGTGATCTTAGTCTAGCATGTTTTTTTGAAAAAGATTTAATTATCTAAGTATCTATGGAAAAGCCTGACCGAATTCCTATTCTTAAGCCTTTTGGCTGCCATCTCTCTACATTCAAATGAATTGTGTACCTCACGATTTCTTATTGTTGCAGCCTTGCGTTTTATAACTGTGCACGAGACATAAGCTATTTCT